TGCTGTCGAAGGTGATGTCGGGCGGCGGAATCGGTGCCCCGGTGTCTGCGCCCAAGTAGTAGACGAGGACGCCGAGGGCTAAAAAATCGGCGACGATCGTGCCAATGCAGCCCGCGAGCGCGGCCGCCGCGCCTTCCTTGAGCGTCGGCACGAGGCAGATCGGGAGGATCGTCATGGCCATGAGGATCGTCCAGTGCCGCGGCGAGAACGCGTCCGGGATCACGGTGTCGAGGAGCGAGCCGCCGAGGACGAGAAAGGCGCAGGGCACAAAGAGGCAGACACCGAGCTGCGAGGCAATGACGGCGAGTCGCCCGTGGCGGCCCAGCGCCCAGCCGCCCTAGCGTACACATGAGTGCAGGAGCGTCGACGACGACGACGTACGAGGTCGGCAAACGTTTGCACGGAGCCTGGCGCACGGAGCATGACCTTGCTGCAGACGACCGAGGCGTAGACGTTGGCGACGCCCATAAAGGCGAGCGCGAGCGCGCCGCAGGTCGGCCCGGCGCGGGCAAAGTTGCCGGGCATGCCCAACGTGCCGATGCCATAGACGCAGCAAAAGAGGTTGAAGGACGCCTTCGCGTCCTCGAGCGTCAACCAGCGCGCCATCGAAATCAGAAATTTAGAACTGTCTGGCCTGTCGTCATTGGCCAGTGATGGGAATAGAGCAAGCGCGCTTGATCTCTGGAAATGGCGGCGGATGCCAGGTACATCGAAAAGGCAGGTGACGACAATGGCCTTGTGGATGCAACGTATACTCTGTGATCCTAGGTGCACTCGAGGTACCGGTGCTGAAGAAGCGGAGGCCAGGTCATCCTTGTATACAATCTGCATCGAGCGTGGAGCTCGATTTTTATGGCCTCATCGAAGTTGCGCATGGGCGTCACGTGTACTGTACGAGTACCGGCATGTGCGTGGCCTCTCCAAAAGAGCTCTGGGCGGCAGCAAGCGCACCCATAAATAATAAAATGTCGTGCGGTCATGGGTGCGAGCGGCGGTGGAGATTCATGACGTGGCAACCGGAGGAGCGTTTGGCACGCGGCGCGTCTTGGTCGTGCGGCAGAACGCAGACGACGCGGTGGTTGCTGCAACGCGATTTCTTCTTTCTCGGCGTCGCAGAAAAGACTGCAATGTACTCCGATGGCCGCTGCGTCCCCTCTTGGTTGGTGGTGGCTGTACGAGAATGTACGACAGAGAGGAAACATCGTTGAAGAGCGCCGTCGACACAATCTGCAACGACCGACCAAATTTCACTGGTTCTTCGTTTTGCTGGGATACCAGTAGCACGGTCGCTACGTCGCGCGTCTGGTTTTCTGTCCACGCTTGTGTTTTTGGAGTGTCCATGTCGAACGAAGGGGCACTGGTCGTAGGACACTCAACGATTGACTTCCAAGTTGACTGTCTTCGTGGTCCTGGACCACTGTCCTTTCTTCATGTACCGGGCGACCTCGTCGTTCGTATCTGCCGATAACTGCATGCAGTCATGGCATGCAGTGCCACACTCATGCTACATGCAAGAGATCCGCGCGACCCATCTGTCCATGTCCACCAACGTTGGTGCATTCGGATATTTCCTCTTCGCAGCTCCATGAGGCAAGGTGCCGCCACGTCACGATCTGAGTTGTCGCGTGATGACGGATTTGGCTCTTGGCAATCAACCACCGCACGTGATCATCGCAATATATTACATAAATTTTAATATTATGGAAAGGTGGCCACGAATATAATATATTCGTGGCCATACGGTATATAATTATTATATATTGATATTGCATCGTCGATGGAAAGTTCGATGCACAGCCCGCCCAATTCGAATGTCTTGTTGTCGTCTGACCTGAATATACGAATAGCTTGTCGGACGTATCCTCGTGGGAGGAGACGGCCTTTTATCCTTGCCGGGACGTTGAAATAAAATAGAATATATATCGGATACGTTCGAGAAAAGAATAATATATTCCTCGTAATATTAATATATTAGTATATTCATCGCGGATAAACATAAAATCGGCCGACGCCGTCGTCGTGATGGCGGACTCACGCTGCCCACAAAGCTTCCGACTGTTACACCACTCTTCAACTCCCTCGTTCATGGGCCGGACGGTCCTCGCCGTGCGCGTGACCAAGGCGATCGTCTCCACGTCGACCAAGACGACCCACTATGAGCTAGCTATCACCGACTGCAAGACGCAGGCGCTTCTGACCACGCGGAAGCGCCACCGCGACTTCAAGCAGCTCCTTCAAGCTGTCGCCCGCGCGCTCCAGGTCGGCCACGCCTGCGCCTCGGTCTGTCCGTGGTTTTACATGGACCTGCAGCAGAAGATGCCACGACCGCACTTCCTGGACCTCTTTGCGCATGGGCGAGCCATCGCGAGCCGCATCGCGGCCTTTCAAGATGTGCTTGACACGATCCTCATGTTCATCTCGCACCCCAAGGCCATGGCCTGTCCACGCGCCGCCGACGCCGTGCCTAAGGCGTTCTACGACTTTCTCTTCGCCGACCTTGACGGCGCCGACCGGCTCGGCTCGTCGCTCTCGTTCTCGTCGTCGTCGTCGTCGGCGTCGTCGTGGGGCTCGTCCAACTCGGTCACCGACGGCGTCATCTGCGCGCTCTGCAGCCGGTTCTTGGACGACCACGGCCTCTACGAGCAGAGCGCTTGCCTCACGACGCTCTCGTGCGGCCACGTCTTCCACGACGACTGCATCGTCGCGGCCCTCAATGTCCACCTCCTTTGTCCGTGCTGCGTAACGCCGTAATATCATCGAACTTGTGCTATATTTATTTTTATTTATTTTTATCATTGTTGAAGTTACCAATATCCTTCGAAGGAGCTCAAAGATACGGCGGCGATGGCCGACGACAGCAGCAGCAGCATCCGAGAGGTGCTCGGGGTCTTGTTCCGGTCGGCGCTTCCAGCGAGCGCGCTTGACGACGACGAGAGCGTACGCGCCTCCATGAGGGCCCAACCTGCATGGCCTGTACTACTACGTAGGTGGACGAGGCCCTTGGCCGGCTGCGTCGAGCGCTCCAGGCGCTGCCACAAGATGCGTCTGTCTTTTGGCACCTCGCGCATGTGGCGCGGCTCAAAGAGATGCTGCACGAGCATATGGCCGAGGCCATCGAGACGTACGTCGACGACGCCATGGCCAAGGACCCCGAGTGGATGCTCGTGACGCGGACCGCGTCGCCGCTCGATGCGGTTATCGATGCCATGATTCTCTCCAAAGGACCCAACGTGCACGTGCTACAGACGCGGCTTCACGACGCCGTCGCCAGTCAAGTGACCGCGATCTTGAACGAGTTGCGCGAGCATGGGCCACTGCACGACCGTTTTGCAGCAAGCGCCACCGCCTTTGACACGCGGGTGCACCGAGCCCACGACAACGTCTTGCGGCTCGATAGCGTTTCCAACGACGATCCAGACGACGGCGATAGTAACGTGCTGTGGACGTGCGAACCTCTTTCCTACGTGAATGAATGACTCAAACAGGGATAGCGATGGGTTTCACGACGACGACGATTTCGACACCGAGTCGCCGCGGCTCGCCGCCAGCGACTTGTACGTGCTACTGGATCGCATGGCGCTGCCGTCGTCCAAGGCGCGGCTCGACGCATTTGCGCAGCTCTTGGCGGTACAACCCCGTTGCGCCATCCTCGATCGCATCGACACACCGCCGTAGGTTCCTGTCGACACGCTCCTCGAGCTCGGCGACGCATGCGTGGATGCTGTGACGCGCCGCCTCGTGCCCTTTTGCCTCGACAAGGACGACGCGACGTCGACAAGTGCGATCACGCGACTTCATATGCTCGTCCAAGGCACCGACATCGCTGCGCAGTGCCGGCTGTACGCTGTGCTGCTCGAGACGCTGCTGCATAGCACACCTCGCGCAGCTCTCTTTCTTCGCAAGCCATCGATCTCGTCGCCGACGCCGTCGCAGTCGCCTCAGCGCGGCCTGCTTCGCGTGCTTCGCTATGTCCACCACCTTCTCCACGTGCTGCCCAACGAATGGATCTATGCTCCACCCGACGTCCACGCCCGCGCCCTTCCTTATGAC